CAGATTATTTTAAATCATTTTTAATGAAATATTGCAAAAATGGTAAAAAAATAATTATATATAGTATATATTTTTAATTAAATTTTATTTATCAATTAATATGTTTATTTATTTTATAGGTGGAGTTATTCCTGGACCTGGTCAACTACGTAGTAAATATCTTCCTCTTTTATATCAAGAAGAAGAAACAAGACTCAAAAATGAATTAATTAATAAAAAAATTTGTATCACAGTTGATGAAACTACAGATTCTTGTAGAAAAGCTGTGGTTAATATTTTATTTAGTTTTTTTAATAAAACTAAATTGGTAAAAACTAGTTTTTTACAATCTGTTAATTATACTACTATTTCTCAATTAGTTATTTCTACAATGGCTTTTTATAATATTTCTTTTAATAATGCAATTCTGTTTATTACAGATAATGCTTCTTATATGTTAGCAGCTTTTAAAGTTCTTTCTTCTTTGATTCTTCAATTAAAACATAATACTTGTTTTGCACATATTTTTAATTTAGTAGGTGAAACCTGGATTGAATAAAAAATTTTAAATTTCTTGATCATATAGTTGGTTTAATTAAATCAACTTTTACATATTCTCCAGCTAGAAAAAGAAGATGAGTTAGTTTTCTTTCTGCTCATGGTATTTTAAATCCTTTATTACCTCCTTTACCAATAAAAACTAGATGGAATTCTTGGTTTAATTTTGTTTTTTGGTTAAATAAGCATTTTAAATTTTTTATTGAATTTTATCAAGAAGAAGAAAGAAATAGAACTAGTAATTCTGCTATTTCAGAACTTATTGAAACTTTTGAAGATAATAATAATATTTTTTTTCTTCAATTTATTATGCATTTTATTACATTTAATATGCAACAGTAAGTAATTATTTTTATAATATTTAAAATTTTTAATTTAATTATTAACTACTAATATATTTTTTTAATTAATTAATAGATTAGTCAATGATATTGAATTTTTTAAAATTCATGATAAACCTTTAGCATCATTTCTTGCAACTAGATTAATATTAGTAAGAGCAAGATTGTTTTCTGGAGTTGAGATTCCACCTAAATCAAATGAGATGATAAAACTTTGTGAAGATTTTAATCTTAATTCTACTATTCATAATTCTTTTTTTAAAGAAGCATTTCAACTTGCCTTAGACAAATTTGACAAACATATTGTTATAGAACGATTTATTATTATTTTATTATTAGTTATTATTATTATTATTATATTATTATTATTATATTATTATTATTTAGTATTAGTTATTTTATTGTT